CTCTTTGCCTTTGTGTGCGCCATCCCCATGCTGCTCGTGGTCGTCGCCGGCTGCATGCGCGGCGACTTGGCACAGAACGGCGCGTATCGCGACGATCCAAGCGCGCCAGTCTGGGCCAGTGGCACCCTCACGACAGCCTACTTTGCGTGGCTGCCCTACACGACGTGGGGGTACGCCGGTGTCGAGTCGCTCACACTCATCGCTGGCGTCACGAAGGATCCGAAGCGCACGTTGCCTCGCGGTATGCTCTTTGCGGTCGTGACGCTCTTTTGCTCCAACATTTCCATGGTGTTTGTCGTGCCGTCGCTGCCACCAGGCATTGCCTCCGCGGTGAACGCAACGTTCCCGCTCAACAACGGACTTGGCATGCTCGGAATTTCCGACGTCGTTGGGCAGTGGCTGATTCTACCGGCGCAAATGGGCATGGCGGCGGGCTTCTTCCTGCAGTACGCGCACTTGACGCAGTCGCTCGCCAACTCCAACATGCTGCCGGCGTGTCTTGGCCTCAAAAACCAGCCGACGACGCTCAAACCCATGGTGGCCGCGTCCGCTTTGGGGTACCTCCTCTGTACGGCAGCGCATTTGAGCCCTGCGTTTCAGCAGGCCGAGCAAAACCTCTTTATTCTAGCGGCAACATTTTGCTACAGCGCGCAGCTCATTGGGTTCGTCATGCTTCGGACAACGTACCGCTGCGACTCGAAAGAATTTACAAGTCCGTTTGGTATTCCTGGCGCCATTTTTGCCGGTAGCGTCTACCTACTGCTCGCGCTCTCAATCGCCGGTGGATTCCAGGGCGACGACGGTGTCGCGGCCGCGTCGTTAGCCGTGTTTCTCCTGCTGCTCTTGCTGTACTACCACACTGTGTGCAAGGCGACCCAGACGCTCACAAAGGACGAGTATGCGGCCGTGTTTAGGTTTTCCGTCATGAAGTACAACGCCGCGCGACGCAACAAGTCGCGGTCGAGCCGCCGGAGCTCGGTCGCCAAGACGATTGCATGGGCCGTCAGCCTCGTCGCCGCGTCCAACGAAGCGACCAAGCACCAAGCACCAAGAACGATCACGGTCAAGACCCAGCGCAGCGTCGCCAAGTCCCAACGCGGTAGCCGCACCCAAGCACCGTTGGTTGCTCCCTCAGAGGAGGTGTCGACGGAGCACCC